GTACATACAGTACATACATACAGTACATACAGTACATACAGTACATACATACAGTACATACAGTACATACATACATACAGTACACACATACATACAGTACACACATACAGTACATACAGTACACATACAGTATATACAGTATGTACAGTACACACATACATACAGTACACACACATACATACATACAATATGTGCCATAAAGTACATACACACAGTACATACATAAATACCTCAGTACAATGTTAAATATTACCTATATACAATAGTAAAACAATTACAGACAATTGCAGACAAGAAAAAAAATGCTGTATCACTGTAATCTGTCAGATTGCAGCAAGAAGCAGCACTTTACCTTAGAACAAGAATTGTTATAGTTCTCGAAGTAACCAGTCATTGTGTTAGCTATTGCGAATTTACAAACCATCAAACAAGTCTGATGTCAGTTTAAGGACAGTTGTACATTAGACTTGGGCAGTATCATAGTATTGTGGTGTACCTCGGTAGTCAAATATGGTGATAGTATTTAAAAATTATAACGATATATTAAATCTCTGGAGCAGAGTCACATGACCTATTTAAATCATCAGCTGGAAAGACACGCCTTTTCTGAGACTTTCAGTTTGTGTCAAAAGTAGAGACTTCAAACTATACGTTAGTTTCTAAATTGTGTTGATAGGACAAAAAAGAAAAGGGCATTATGATAAATACTATACGCCACTTTTTCCCTAAACACTATAGCTTGATGGAAAAAACAGCTCAATCTGCCATCTGTCTAATCCTTCTTTTGAGGCAAAAGCCATAAACTTCCCCAATCTCTGTTCTGACTGAGGCCCAAAGTTGTTTTAAGTGCCAAAAAGCCTACAGGAAAATAAAAAGACATGAAAGTTGAATGAAGTTTGGCAGCAAAGGAGAAACAGCGGGAGAAAGTAACTCAGCACAGACCATACACTTTCTTTGCCCCGCCCCTTTTTGCGTTGCCCTGGTAATACCCTGTACCGCGGTGTTATCTAAAGATAATATGTCGGTATAGAAAATATCAGTACCGCCCAACGCTATTATGCAGTACACTTACTTTTCTCAAACGTCAGCTGGTTGCAGTTTTTTCCAGTGTTCCCAATCATTTCCAACGCAATGTAGCTGAAGTCTGACTTTAAAAAGCTGCCCAGTGTTTCAGTATTATATTACTTGCTAATTAGCCTTTTTATGTCGTCACATTTAAATTTTTTATCAATTTGCATCCCTCCTACTCCCTGGATTCGCACACTGTGTTTTTTAAATTCCCATTACAGGTGCTCTCAGTCACATTCATTTTCCATTATCAATGTCAGACATTGAAAGCACAAACTCCTAACTATAAAACATCCGATTAGGAAAACTCGTTATACCTTAATTAATTTAAAACATGTCAAGGTCTCATTTAGACTTAAAGTAAACCACAATTTACCTAATCTAAATGCAGCTCAAATGTCATAATTTTAACTTTATTTACAGCCACAAAGATCTCTCAGGAAATCATAAACTGGTTAAACCTTGAACTTTTTCTTCAAGTCTAATGCTGCCTCCCTGCTGTGGCTTAGTTTGCCTGAGAGTGCTGCATTCCTCATCTGAACTGCAAGGTGCACGCACATCGCAAGGGATGTTACTGTTTTGTTGTAAAAGTCACTACATTTTCACGTCACTGCAGGTCCCTGAGAGCAGCTAAAAGTTGTTCTTAAGCAATACAGAAAATAATAATCACAGCAAATTAATTTTGCACACTTCAAATGTAAATAAGATAAACTGAATATAAATAAAAAGCTAAATTAGTCAAAAGTCAAGTACTTAAATTGTTTTCTGTCACGCTGTAGTTTGTTTTAAACTTATTCCTGTTTAAGGTCACTTGTGTCTCAGGTTATTATTCACACAGGCGCATTGAAATTCTGTTGGAGTTTGTGGCTTTATTTCTCTGCGAAAGTGTTTATGGAATATAGAGCAGGGGCTGATGGGAGTTGTTCATTCTTCATCTGAAGGTGTACCAGAAGGTCTGAGTGCCGACGGGCAGAGGAGAAGAACGGCTGGTTGTGGAGCCCCAAGCAGCAGTGTGTCAAGATCGTATCTTTCTATCCCTCAAACCTTTCCTGCAAAAAAACAGACAAGGTACATCACTCCCCACGTTTGCTCTTTGTTCTCCTTTGGTCCGTCTGGCTTTGCTGGCACGCAATTCCATGCACACGTGTGTGTTACAGAAACGTGAAGTCTGAGCTAAAAGCTGTTTTCATTGTGAGTCAGAGACCCTGGGCTCTTGGTCTTCCTGTTGCGTATCGATCCACCCAGAAAAGTCCAAACTGTCTTATTATAACCTACCTTGCTGATTGTGTCTACGAGTGAAGATGGAGAGTCTCTCTTATGTGCTTTGCTTCTTAAATTGTTTTTCTCATTCCCTGGCTTTCTGACTGTTTTTCTGTCCCTCCTTTTCTGACTCGCACTTGAATTTCCATCAAAAGCGTGTCTCCTCCTTTCCCGCTCTCAATCAATCTCCTGTCTTTCGAAAGGAAATCCTTTCTTTTCCTCAACTTCTGTTTCTTAGAGGTGTTTGAATTATACACAGCACAGAAATAAATTCAACGTTTTTTCATTAAAATGTACAATACCAGTATTGAAGGTGTTTTATCTTGGGTTTTTAACATCTTTGTGTGTGTGTGGGAACAGTTACAGATCAACATTCCATCTCTTCCTGCAATCGGACCGTCTGACCGTCTGCAATGCATCATTGACTTGTTCCGCAGCGAAGGCACCATGCTGGACTCGAGTCAGGTCTCCTGTGATCTACCACCGCCCTCACTTATACCTCAAACACCTGAGGACCAAGGTATAGTTTTTATACTCGACCTTCCTTTTCCATCCAATGCTTTTTCTGCTGACCCCAAATTTTTGTTTATATCTGTGTCAACTGGTTTGGAAAATGTGATTGATTTCAGACTCTATAGGATGTTCAGGATGATCATTCTTGAATTTTAAATGACTTTCTCTCTCAGTCATTGTGTGTTAAAATGAATGTGCAATAGAATAGAGCAAATGTTCTTTTTACTACCTGCTGCTAATGGTGGATAGGGGAAAGTGTTTCCTGTCTGTGGGTGTGTTTGTATGTGTTTGTCTGTTTGGCGTTTTAGCAACATGTTTCATGAACCACTGGACAGATTTTATCAAAGCTATCAGGAATCTACAGCTGATTAACTACAGTGAGTCAAAAGTCACATTACGCCCTTTTAATTTGATCCAATATGACGGCTTTCGAGATGACAGTCATGTTCTGAACATAGCTTAAAAGATTTGTTATTTTCCCTTTTCTTTTTGAAAGAAAAGGGCGTATTTTGACTTTTGACTTTTTGAATTACCGGTAAGCCAATCCAATTTGAGCTAACATATTAAACACATATAGGTGATCAACAGCATAAACATTACTAGCATTCATTAAAAAAGTGTGCAATTTAATTTGTATTAATTAAATCTTGGATATCTCTCACTTAAATAACTAAAATAATTAATATGTGTAGTCATAAATCAATTTCAGATATCTGGAATGTAAGTCTGGTGAAGCCAGTTAAATGTAAAAATGGCCTGCCATACAGGTGAGCTTTGGTTCTGTTAGGAGGGCGGGCCAACCTCTTTGTACAGTGCTGGGGAAACACTAATAAATGAGATTATTGTTATTCACAAGGTTTGACCAAAATGACTGTACCCTTGTTGTTTTCATCAGATCATTTTTGTTCATTAAGGCAGTATGCAATCTTTTAAGAAATGCTAGACCTGATTTGTGTTGCATTTCTTAATTATTTGACAGCCAAGAAAATGGTGGTAAGATTTGTTCCAGTGGTTTAGCATCTTTGCTAAATCCCTTTCTTGGGTTAGTTAGCTTTTCTTAATATATACTTTTAGTCCTTTTCAGAAAGTGCTTTTCCTGTGCTGTAGTTTCTAAGTCTCCCTTCATTCAGTTGTACTTTTCCTCAGATTTCGTGGCTGTTTCTATCCGGATTTTGGCCAACGAGACTGTGGAACTGGCCACGCGGGAGTTCAAGTTCTACAACTGCGCGGCCACAGCGAGGAGATCGGAAAACACGCCGTGAGTGCCGCCGCTCTCTATCGGTTCTGCTCTGCCACTCTCCTAAAAACACACAGCCACAATGAACACAGCATCAGCTGACAACCTTGATGCAAATGTATCACCATGCATGAACAGATGAGGTATCAAGGCTCTGTCTGCAAATTGTGATGCATGGGAGTTTTGAATGCACCTCCAGCATTTCTCTGTCCTTTTATTACCAAACCGTGGAAATTGCCTCTGTTTCCTTTTCATTAATCAAAAAATGAAAGTCGATCTCACCAGCCCCCCCCACCCCCATCCTCACTTTTTCTTTCATTTCTTTCACGCTGAGGCATGTGTGATGAATGAGCTTTGCTTATGTGAAGTTGCAGAGATCCATTTCATTGTCAGCAACATAGATTTTTGTGCTGGACACTGCCTGATGAGTTTGCATGTTTTAGATTGTGTTTGCATGTGCTTTTATTTCTGTTTGTGCATGTGCACTAATATAATTGTGTGTACAAGCTCCTATGTGCTGACACTAGTTGTTGAAAGCAGCTCTAAAACCGTGCGTTTCCAGGTGCATGTCATGTGTTGGTAGTTCGTGGGGATGCCAGTGGAATACAATTGACCACACCTGCAGCGACAAGGACGACAGCATAGTGGGTCCCACCATCGTCGGACAACGCAAGGTGAGTCGCTGTAAAGCTTGGGTCAGGATCACATAGCATAGATGGTATGTGTCTGATAAACGCCACCAAATATAGAACAGACTTTTAAAAGATGCATCTAATCATCGCTTGTGATGCTGTGCCCTAGCGATGCACATTCTTCTGGAAAATTATTAAAAACACAAATCCCTCTATCAGCTGCCACCATCTTGCAGTGCAAATGTTCAGGGTGGAGGATATCAATTTACAAGTCAGCAGATGTTCCACTGATACACTTATCTGTCGCTGCAGATGAGAGTGTCTGCTAAGTGGCTTGCATATTTAAAATGTGGATCATTACAAGTGGGAGTGTCTCATTTGATTCAATTTGTTTCCAGGGATCCGAGTGCCCCCAGTTTGAGAATCCGGATCCTGTCCTGATCCCTGTAGGCTACAAGACTCGGATCAGTTTTGAGGGGATCAATTTAAACAACTACAAGGTAAAGTGGCACATGTGCACGTATGAATGCTGTTCAGTTGATGTGTACGTGACATATCAGTGGTAATAATTTACTACTGCTGTTCCAAAGAAAAATGGAGAAGTAAAAATTTTAATTTTTTAATTCCAACTGTTATTAAAACCCTGAATATCACTGAACACTCATCAGCCTAACTCAATCAACTGGGATTATTGTGATAGTTCATATCTTTTTAAAATGACGTTCTATAGAAATGTTATGAACAGTTAATATGCTACCTGCTGCAGATAGCTGTTTGGACAAGTAGTTTCATTCATTCATTCATGAAGGAAGGAAGGAAGGAAGGAAGGAAGGAAGGAAGGAAGGAAGGAAGGAGACATCTTCATTCATGAAGGAAGGAAGGAAGGAAGGAAGGAAGGAAGGACCCCAAGCTGTGCAGGACATGCTACTGCTAGTTGCTGTTGTAGTTGTTGTGCTTGTAAATTGTTTTATTTTTTGTAAAAAGTCATTTTTTGAAAATACGGGGCAGATATCCTAAGATTATTTTCCTTCAGGCTGCACCCTTTTTTATTTATAACATTATTTCATTTTTATTTTACTTTATATAGATTGTGTTTTTCTGAATGAAATAAATGAAATGATAAAAAAACACATCTCTACATGAATAATAAGGTCAAGTGAAACTGACAGCAGAAAAAAGGTACATGAAATGGCGTCTGCATGAACTTCTAAAAATTCCTGTAGATTGGCACTGTTTCAGCTCTTCAGTGTAGTCGGCAGGGCGCACATGTTTGAGTCACGCTCACGAGTAAACTCAGAAGTTGAAGCTATTGAGCTGAAACCTTTAAACAGAGCTGTTCAACTAAAGGGTGGCTCATTTACTGAAAGCCAGCAGCTCAGGCTGCAGGAGGTGTTGCTCGACAGGTAGGGGAAACACTGCATTGTTATTTATTATTTACCTTTTAAATTTGTTTATTTTATTGCATTGAATTGTAAATTTAAAACTGATTTGAAGTCTATTTTTTATATTAAATTAAGTGGGGAAAAAAAGTAAAATATACATTTTTTTTAACCTGTTGGTGGGCCAGACTGAAGTCACCCACAGGTAGGATGTGGCCTGCAGGCCGCCAGTTGAATAACCCTGCTTTAAAATGTAATCCCTTTTGAGTGGAATAAAGTCATTTAAAGGCAGAAATACAGTAAAGGCAAATCTAAATGGAAATTTTAAAGTTATTTTGCATTGTTAAAATTACCTGTCCCATAATGTTTTAAATATAACAAAATTATATGAAGACAAAAACACCCTGTCAGTATGAACTTTTAGAAGTTTTATCACTGTAATCACATTTTGACTCATAAATATTTATGCTATGAATTATGTTCATTTAAAAATGTTTCCACCCACTGAAAAACACAAAAATAAAAGTTAATTTTTTAATAAGAAGCTTTAAACAAACAATGCTGTAGTGAGAAAAGCTGCGGACTTTGTAAATAAATCATCCAAGTTATGAAAACTGTTTTTAAAAGCAAAACATATTTGTCTTGTTGAACACCCCACTGACCCCACAGCCCCCTCCCAAGACCAGGAAGCACTTCATGAGGTCTGAAAGTTAGCTTTCTCATGTTGTCCTTATGCAGCTGGCTATTTGCTATAAAAAGCTTATATGTATGATAAAATTAAACAAACGTGTTATTCGTTTTCAAGATCATGGCAGATTTTGAGCATTTAGTTCTGTGTCCATGTGTCTGCACAAACTAAAAGCAGAAGTCACATTTGCCGGCTTCCATTGATCACCAAAATCCCACAAGGAAGTCGTAAGAAACAGCAATGGTAAATGTGCTGCATTTATGTAGCACATTATTGACCACTCGAAGTGCTTTATAGTTCGAGCCGCATTTAGACTTACAATTATGCAATGCTTTTATCCTATACACAGAGCATGTTCGCTATCATACATGCACTCCTACACTGATGGTACATCGGGGGCAGTAGAATGATTCAGTAGCTAATCCAGGAACACTAACATGTATTAGCTGGGGAGGCTGGGAATAAAGCAGGAACTTTCTGACTTGTGGCAGACTCCCATTACCTTCTAAATCTGTTTCTTTCTAAGAGCCTAATGCAGCGCTCTCTCTTTGACAAACAATTTTATGTTTACTGTGAAATGACTCGCCTCTTCAATGTGCTGAGACGCTGACTTTTCCGAGGGTAGGAACGGACCAGTAGTCACATCTTTAAGAAGAAAAAGAACAGAAAAACAACATGATTTAAAAAATTGTGTTAATAATATGTTCCTTACTGTGGTTCTGCAGGGTCACATTTTCACCATCGGTACAGAACTAATGAAGAACGCAGAGGAGGAGGTCAAGTCTGAGGAGGGTCCGTTTTACACTTTCAGCGGATTCAATGTGAGTGCAGCTGGCAGCTCATTGCTGCACACTTGTTTTGATACAGAACAACACTCTGTTCCCTTCCTGAGCTTTTGGCAAATTCAGTTTTGGCCAGGCTCTTAAATTACGGCTGATTTGTGGAGCTGCTTCCCAGAGTGCAATTTAGAGTAACACTGAAAACGTGGTGTTTATTGTAGAGCTGCCTACTATCTCTTAGAGTTAAATCCTCTGTGGTACATCAGCCTCTGTGCCGACTTTCTATGTAAAGCTGCCTTTATGTTCTAAATTTGTAAATGAAATCACCCTTTAACAGCTTTTCATGGCTTCCTTTAATATTCTCTAGCTCCCTCTAATGGACACGGTCCCCTTATTCGAGTAATTTTAGCTCCAAACTCTATATTTTAAATTTTGTGATTGAGTTACTGAAAGCATGCTTAGCCTCCAGGCTGTGTTCTTTCTTCAACATTGATTTCCTCAGCTGAAAATCTGCCAGACTGGGCATATTTTTTCTTTAGCTTTTTTATTTTTTTTACTTTTTTCCCCTTGCTATTTGGGAGCAGCAACCCACACTGTTTGTAGAGAAGAGTTTAAATGTCATTAATCATTAGATTCTGTATTAATAATTCATCATTTTCCCCTTCAATTTCGTAGTTTTCCTATGATAAGTCACCAGAGACCAATGTTCTTTTTTACGTGAAGGACAAGGAGACTGGCAAGAAGATGGACAGCACGCTGAACGGTGAATTTCCTCATTTTAATGCGGGGATGCTATTTATATTGCTGTGTGGGAGCTCCATTAGAGCTGAGGAAGCTACCTTTTAATCTTCAGAAAATAATTGATAATGACTTGAGCATTCAGCCTATTTTGACAGAATGTTATAGATTGTGCAGTGACTCGTTGCATGCAGTCATACATTTCTCATTACACTGGTAAATATAGATTTAAATACAAGTTAGAACAATACTTAGGCACATATGCAATTATAAGGAATATTCCTAAAAGATGATATCAAACAAAATGGTGACTGCTGATTTTTCCCTTCAGTCACCCTGTACAACTGTTCCATGGGGAGAGAAGACTGTAGTCTCTGTAAGTATGCCGACCCGAAGTACAGGTGTGTGTGGTGCAGCAAGCAGAAGGCCTGCGTGTACGAGAAACTCTGCGCTCAACAGCAGGGGGATCCCCACAACATTGAGTGCCCCAACCCCGAGATCAACAATGTGAGTAGCGGCAACAAGGTTGTCATCCCCTCATGTTTACTTTTCAAACAGAAACTGTGCTTTCCTTTAAAGCCTGTGATTAGCAAGGAAAGGATATTGACCTTTTAAATTGGAATATCGAATGGAGCAGTTTATTGGCTCTGCATTTTCTGCCTCATCTTCATGTTGACAGAAGAATTGTGAATCTCCTTGAGAGCATGCTGCAATGTTACTCAATCTTGTCTAGACTGGATCAATATTTTGTTTACTTACTAAATTGTTGGTGTCTTTTTGTCATTGACATAAAACCAGCAGTAATCGTGTTCCTTTTTAAAAATCTAAACAGAGGTTTCCAGCCAAACAGATACAAATATCATTAAAAAAAAGTTGCCATGACTGAAAGCTTCTTCAAAAGAGCTTGCCTCATTTATGGGTTTATTTATCCACCATTTTCACCCAGACTAACATATCTTAAGCTACCAATCTCTAAATTAACCCATCATAAATATTTTTAGGGTCTCCAGAGGGTATATTTTAATGATGTTTGGTCATCCTGCTGTTTCCTTTGCACATGTGAAATAGTGACAGAAATGTCTGATTTCTTATGATGTGTTGAGGTTTTAAATCCTTTGGCGTGAACCTGACCATATTGGCTCAATCTTAATACAGCATAATCAAATCAATGCTCATTCCTCTGACCATTAGCTGTTCTTAATATTAATTAAATAAAGTAGCTCATGTTTACAAGATAACCTCTGGAAAACCTTGTGAGCATGCTCCTCAGCTGCTGCTTTCCATTTACCTCAAGAGCAGGAACTTGGATCTGGAAATGGCATCTTACTCAAAAGTGTTGCCAGCTGGAAAGCTAATGAGATTAGCTACTTGTTGTGCTCGTTAACCAAGCTAACTGTTATTAGCAGTACACGCTGATAATTAACTTCTTTGCATTCTGTACATTCAAATATTGTATCAATATTCCTAAAATAAGTAGTATAGCACTATGTGACAGGTTTAATAAGATACAGTTAACTACTCTGTTGCCATTTCTATACAAGAAACAAACATATTGAATTTTAAGATCAGGGCTTGTCTGAATTTTCAGTTTTAATTGGTGTAGTCAGTGATTTTCCCAGTTTGAAATTTTGGAAATAAATGGGAAAGCACCATAAATTTCTGTTTAGACATGTTAGCACAGTCACTGGACGCTTATTAGCATGTTTTATTTAGCTATAAAGCTCCAAATATAACTTCTGCAGCTTTACTGAGTTCTCTGCATACAATTTTATGTTAAGATTACTGAATGAAATGGTAGTAATTATTGTTATTGTATTATTTGAAAAATGTATTTATCATATTGTAAATACACAGCCTGGTCAAAGAAAAGGTCACCACCTCGTTTTAATTAAGCTTAAAGGTAAGGGCCGCTCATTGGGTAATAACTAAATGGGTGATTACTTTTCAGCTGGCAACAGGTAATTTAACCCTAACTGAGTGAGTAGCTTCTCATTTGTTAAGCAACCATGTGGAAAGAAGCATCCTGTGGTTGTGGAAAATGTTCATCTGTTTCAGAAGGGTCAAATTATTGGCTTCAAGTAAGTAAAACATCTAAAAAAAGGTACTGAAACCACAAATCCGGTTAAGAACAGTCCAATGAAGGACATTGGAGAAGCATCTTTGAGGAAAGAACATTGCTGGTAAACTCTTAATTGGCAATTATGTAAACATCTGGTGAAATCAAATCATAAAATGACAATAGTTGAGCTCAGTGATTGTGAAAGTAAGAGCACTTCTACATGCACAGTGTGAGGGAAACTCGAGGGATTTGGACTAAACAGCTGTGTAGCTGTAAGGAAACCACTTATCAGCGAGGCTAATCGGGAAAAAAAAACAGCTTCAATTTGCTGAGGAGCATAAAGATTGGACTCTGGAGCAATGGAAGAAGGTCATGTGGTCTGATGAGTCCAGATTGACCCTGTTCCAGAGTGATGGGCCCATCAGGGTGAAAAGAGAAGCGGTTGAACTGATGCACCCATAGTGCCTACCGTATAGGCCTGTGGGGACTGTGCTGTGAACTGGGGCTGCTGCAGCTGGTCAGGTCTAGGTTCAGCGTTATGTGCCCAAAGAATGAGGTCAGCTGACTACCTGAATATACTGAATAACCAGGTTATTCCATCAATAGAATTTTTTCCCTTGATGACACCGACACGTTCCAAGATGACAATGCCAGGATTCATTGGGCTCAGATTGTGGTTCAGGGAGCATCATTTTCACACAAAGATTGGTCACCACTGAGTCCAGACCTGAACCCCGTTGAGAATCTTTATGATGTATTGGAGAAGACTTAGCGAAACGTTCCAAATCTCCTGCCGTCGATATAAGATCTTGGCGACAACTTAAAGTAACTCCAGGCAGAAATAAATGTGACATTGCAGAAGCTTGTGGAAATGATGATACAGAGAATGTGTGGCATAATTAAAGGCGGTCGAATCAAACATTGGAGTGTGACCTTTTTTTTTTTGGCCAGGCAGTGTAATTTCATTGTCATTTAGTGGAAAATACTCGGTTCATAATAGTACAAGCATTTTTTTTTATTCCAGAGGTCTGTTTAAATGCTGTATTAGTTCTAGACTACTTCTGCTATTTTCAAGCGTCTTGCTCACTAATCGGCCAATGCTCGCATACATGCAGACACTACTTGTGTCGTATTAATGTAATTCTCCACCATGGCCTCAAATATAAAACAATTTATTGAATGGTTGGTTGAACAGCCTGAGTAAATCTCTTGTATGTTCTTATAGCACAACTAATCTGTTTAAATCCGTTTCAAATCCTTTCTACCTAAAAAATAAAATAAAATGAAATAAATAAATCCCTCAACGCCCTCCATACCCACCAGACATTGTATTTATCCATCCAGATCATCCCTCGTTTCGGCCCCATGAAGGGAGGCATCTCCATTACCATACATGGCTCCAACCTTGGAATTCATAAAGAAGATATTAAAAGCATCACAGTTGTCGGGGAGCCCTGCAGTCATCGGGAGGAGAAGTATTCTGTCTCCACCAGGTAATTAGTGTGTGTGTGTGTGTGTGTGTGTGTGTGTGTGTGTGTGTGTGTGTGTGTGTGTGTGTGTGTGTGTGTGTGTGTGTGTGTG